TCCTGGAGGAATTCTGCCATAATCCCTGCAGCAACGAAATTGGGAGGCTTAAATTCCTTAAGGACAGTGACTACACTATCAAAGCCTAATTATTTCGTCCCTATATTCTGTTATATTTTCTAACAATCTTAAGGAATTTAACAACACTGCAATGGAGGCTTCTGGTTTCAACAAGATGTTCGAAGTGTTCAAACTGGATCGATTTGATGGCTCAAATTTCACCCACTGGAAAGATAAATTGTTGTTCTTTCTCACGGAGCTGCGGAAACTAGTTCAAAGGTGAATTATGTTGAGTCTAGTAAGGCAAACAACTCAGGAAAATCTGGAAACAAGGCTGGAAAGAAGAGAAAGTTTGAGGCTGCTCCAAAGGAAAATTCTTCTAACATTAAGAAAGGTCCATGTTATACTTGCGGAAAAATGGGTCATTTTAAGCGAGATTGCAGGTTTCGTAAGAGACAGAAAAATGAAGAAAATGTTGGACAGAAGAGGGTAAATATTGTTGAACAACAACAAGCTTCTTCTTCGGATATTGTTGCTATGATTTCTGCTTTTACCAACTTGAATCTGAGTATGGTAATTGAATGCGACATGGCAGCAACTATGAAATCTTCAGATTGGTGGTATGATTCTGGTGCTACAGTTCATGTATGCAACGACAAGAGTTTCTTCAAACATTATGAAGTTGCAACAAGTGATGAAAAGGTTTTAATGGGAAATCATGACACCGCCAAGGTCTTTGGAAAAGGAACAGTTGAACTATAATTCACTTCGGGAAAGAAGTTGATTTTAATTAATGTTCATCATGTACCTGATGTTAGGAAGAATTTAATTTCTGCAAGTTTATTAAGTAAGAAAGGCCTCAAAACTGTTATAGAGGCAGAAAAGATTATTTTCTCTAAGAATGGTGTATTTGTAGGACAAGGCTACTCTTGTGAGGGCATGTTCAAATAAAGTATTAATAAAGTTGAAGTTTCTGCTTATATGATTGAGTCATCTATTAATTTATGGCATGCTAGACTTTCACATGTTAATTTTCGATACGTTAAGTTTATGTCTAAAAATATATTAATTCCTGCTGTTGAGAATAATGATAAAAATGTGAAATTTGCATACAAGCTAAGATGACTAAGAAATCTTTTCCAAAGAATGAAAGAACAAGTAATCTACTTGAACTTGTGCATTTCGATATATGTGAATTGAATGGTTATTTAACTAGAGGTGGAAATAGATACTTTATTACTTTTATAGATGATCATTCTAGATATACACATGTTTACTTAATGAAAACAAAAGATCAAGCATTTGATATGTTTAAGAGTTACAAAGCATTAGTTGAAAATCAATTGGAAAAGAAGATTAAAATCCTACGTAGTGATCGAGGGGGCGAATATCTTTTCAATGAATTTTCTGTATTTTGTGAAGAAAATGGTTTGATTCACCAAGTTAGTGCACCGTATACCCCACAACAAAATGGTCTTTCTGAAAGAAAAAATAGAATGTTGGTAGATATGGTTAATGCCATGCTTTTACATGCAAAGTTACCAATGAATTTGTGGGGGAAAGCTTTATTAACGACTTGTTTTGTGCATAATAGAGTTCCTTCAAAGAAATTTAAGGTTTCACCATATGAATTATGGAAAGGAAGAAAGCCTAACCTAAATTTCTTAACGGTACGGGGCTGTTTAGCCTATTATAGAATTCCAGATCTTAAAAGGACTAAGTTAGGACCTAGAGGAATTAAAAGCATATTTGTAGGATATGCTAAGAACTCAAAGGCATACAGATTATTGGACATTGAGTCTAAGTATATTGTGGAATCTAAAGATGTTGAGTTCTTGGAAACAAAGTTCATTTGTGACTTTAATAATTCACACGAGGACACAGAAATTACTAAACAAGATGGTAATGCAACAAGCATTGGTGATAATGCAGTAACTCAAGAAAATTGTGCAGAACCTAGTTCTTCTTCTAACAATAAAAGAAAGGCAATTGAATCTCCTGTAGAACCAAGAAAAAGTCAAAGAGTTAGAAAAGAAAAAAATATAGGTTCTGATTTTATTTCTTCTCAAGCACTAGTCTTTTTGGTAGAAGGAAGTAGAGATGAAGTATTTAATAAAATACCCATTATTTTAAATTTAGAAGAGTATCCTAAAACCTATAGTGAGGCTATGGCTTCGCGGGATTCTTCTTTCTGGAAAGAAGCTGTAAATGATGAAATGGATTCCCTTTTATCAAATGGTACATGGGTATTGACAGATTTACCTTCTAATACTAAACCTATTGGGTGTAAATGGGTTTTTAGAAGAAAATACAATACTGATGGTTCTCTACAAATATTTAAAGCTAGACTAGTAGCCAGGGGATTTAGACAAAAGGCAGGAGTAGATTATTTTGACAAATATGCTCCTGTGGCCAGGATTACCTCAATAAGAGTATTATTTGCTTTGGCATCAATATATAATCTAAATGTCCATCAAATGGATGTTAAGACGGCATTCTTAAATGGTGATCTTGATGAAGAAGTTTATATGGAGCAACCCGAAGGGTTTGTGCTTCCTGGAAATGAGAAGAAAGTTTGTAAATTAGTTAAGTCCTTGTATGGATTAAAACAAGCTCCAAAACAATGACATGAAAAATTTGATAGTGTTATATTATCAAATGGTTTTAAACATAACGGAGCAGATAAATGCATTTATTCCAAATTCACAAAGGACTATGGAGTGATAGTATGTCTTTATGTTGATGACATGCTAATCATATGAACTAACATGCAAGGCATAAATGAAACTAAGAAGTATTTAACTTCTCAATTTAAAATGAAAGATTTGGGAGAAGTTGATACTATCTTAGGTGTTAAAGTTAAAAGACATAGTGGGAGTTTTGCCTTATGTCAGTCTCATTATATTGACAAGGTTCTTTCCAAATTTAATCATTTGGGTATTAAAGAATTTAATACTCCGTTTGATGCTTCTAGCAAGATGGTTGAGAACCCCGGAAGATCTGTTAGTCAATTAGACTATGCTAGTGCAATTGGTAGTTTAATGTATGCTATGCATTGTACTAGGCTAGATATTGCCTTTGCGGTTTGTAAATTGTCAAGGTATACTCACAATCCAAGTGGTGATCGCTGGAAAGGTATAGTGACGGTACTTGGTTATCTGAAAAAGACAAAAACTTTTGCCTTGTATTATAACAGATTACCTTCAGTGTTAGAAGGATATTGTGATGCTAGTTGGATAACTAGTGTTGGTGATAACAAGTCAACGTCTGGGTGGATATTCACTTTAGGTGGAGGAGCAATTTCGTGGGCTTCTAAGAAACAGACGTGTATTACTCATTCCACAATGGAATCTGAGTTTATTGCTTTAGCAGCTGCAGGAAGAGAAGCAGAATGGCTGAGAAATCTGTTGTTAGATATAAAGTTGTGGCCACAACCAATGCCAGCTGTTCTCTTGCACTGTGATAGTGAAGCAACTATATCTAAGGCATTTAGCAAAATATACAATGGAAAATCTAGACATATTGCTTTAAGACATGAGTACATAAGACAATTAATTTCGGATGGAATTATTACTGTTGTGTACATCAAGTCTAAAGACAACCTTGCTGACCCATTCACTAAAGGACTCGCGAGGGATATGATAATAAGCACAACAAGTGCTATGGGTCTAAGGTAATTTAAATTTGTCACTAGTAACGGGAACCTTACCTTTCTTATTGTTCAACAATATTAAAGGTTTAAAAGGTAATAACAAGTTATAGTTGTGACGGATAGCAGGTACTGGAAATTAGTACCTAGAAAAGGAGGATGAGTATAAAAAATACTCTTAGTGAAGAAGCAGAGTTCGGTTTAGGAACTAAAGAAGTCCGTGTTAAGGATTTGGTTAAATCTTCACCTATGTAAACACAAGAAGTGGTGCCGCTTCGATCAAAGTTTGGGATACAAAACTTGATAAGTGTTTATGAATTCAGGAAGTAGCACAAGGCCATAATTGGGTGCTAAAACTCACGGTGAATAAATTGTGAAGTTGGTACGATTTATGTGTATAAAGCTTTTCCGTCTTGTCAAATAGGAATTGTGGTTTAATAGAACTTAATCTAACCATCAATTTCGACAAGGTCTTGAATAGTTTATACAAGTAGTAGGTTTAAATCGAAGGATACCTACTATACGCATGATTCTTATACATCAATCACTAACTAAGTGAGGGATTATTATATTAGTTAGTGTTTTGATGGGAGTATTTGAAAAGAGGTGACTTTTGTTTTAAAAGGTGCCTATTGGCAAAGGTTAAGTCTGTTAGTCTTAACAGACACCTAAAAGGTTTGAAAGGAGGTGACTTTTGGTATTAAAAAGTGCCTATTGGCAAAGGTTGAGTCTGTTAGTCCTAACAGACACCTAAAGGGTTTATAAATACCCTTTTCTTCTCCAAAACAAAAATCATCAGAAAAGCAACAAAGTATCTTCTTCTTTTCTGCTATCTTCAATTCACCAAATTTGTTCAAGTGGAAATTCGAGTTAATTGCTGGTGCTCGAATTTCAGAGGCTTTGTAAAATCCTGGAGGAATTCTGCCATAATCCCTGCAGCAACGAAATTGGGAGGCTTAAATTCCTTAAGGACAGTGACTGCACTATCAAAGCCTAATTATTTCGTCCCTATATTCTGTTATATTTTCTAACACTGGTCACATTGCAATAACTTTACCAGTTATGCCAAGGCTTGCTCCCCTGCTAATTATATATACTATGATAATGTAAAATTCAATACTGAGATTCACACAGAACAGCAAGCAAACCATAGCCCGTGCATTAATCATTTAATCAATCAACTAATTAAATACACTTCCAATTCTATACCAAACTGAAATCGACTATATATATTACACAGCAACCACATCTAGCTGCAGGTAACTGAAGAAACAGAAAGAGGATATTTGAAAGTATTTGCATATTGAAAAGTGACTGATTGTCCAGGTTTGAGAGGCTTTCCGTCATTGACAAGACAATCATTATATTTAAGTCTTCTGAAAATTGTAGGATTTATTAATCTTGCTGAACTAAACCAACCACAACTCAAGTGAATGTTGGAGATGCTACAACTTCCTGCCGAGACAAGACATTTTCGACAATGGCAGTGTACGTTGGAATGCCATTCGGTAGTGTTCCTGAGGGACCTTGGTTTACTAGGATGTTGTCTTTTGAACATGATGTTGGCCCTATTCTCTTCTCTGTTCAATCATCCAAAAAAAAAAGATGAAGTCAAATATATGATCTTATTTCGAGTTTTCGGAAATATAATTTATCAGATGCGGATCCAAGATTTAAACAATTTTACAAGGTTCTTAGCACTACAACGCATAGTGCAAGTGTTGAACAAATACGTGAAAATAGCACGGGCTAGCAAGTTTTCGAACTGAAAATCGAAAAATAGCAAGCGTTTGCAAAGTTATTGAAAAATAACCATTATTTTGCCGAACACAAAAAGTTATAGTATAATATGCGGGATTCCTGCATATAACCTTGCAACATATTATGTTGGAACTCCAGCACACTATGTTGGAAGCTCATATGTAAAAGTTTGAACTCCAGCCCATTATGCTGGAATGTTTCCTGATTTTCAAGGGTGTTTTTGTTCAGATTTTATCTTTACATGAAAAAGTGGCTAAATTTCGATTACTTTTAAAACTATGCCATTTTTTAAATTACTAGTTGTAAATCTGGCTATATTTTTATTTTTCTCCAACAAATAGTTAAGGCACTTTGGAACAATATAGGGTCCACCGGTATATAGGCAAAATCTCGTGGAACTTCTTTTATGTATTTATTATAATTAAAGATTTAACTTAAATAGCCGTCCGCTCGATCGCTTAAACTAAAAATATGCCATATATATATACATGGCATATATATATATATATATATATATATATATATATATATATATATATATATATATATATATATATATGCCATGTATATATATATGCGCATCATTCATATATAATGTATACAATGTGTATTATCTATGACACCAACTAGAAAAAGTAAATCAGTAAATATGACCGTATAATCGTGTATAAGATCTAACTTTATTTGGAGCAAGCAAAAGATTCTTAATTATCGCAAAATAGGGACAATTTCAATGAGATATTTATGTCTTACCAGGCAGGTTTAGTAATTTCCTAGCAGGAGTGATAATGTATATTTGCTTGGGAATTAGGGTTCTTTCTTGAATAGAACCACCTTCCTTAGCTAGTTCCAATGCATGATTAATTTGTATCACTGTAACATAAAAAGATATTACTATTAATAACAACACTTGAACATTCAAAATAGTTTGAGTAATTGATTGGAATTAAGGGGAAAAATTCCCAAAAAGTGAAAAAAATAAGTCATTTTTTGTGGTTTAAAAAAAAAGATTTAACTAGTATCTTGTAAATAATTTTTACATTGGCAGGTCAATTTTACATATTGTAACAAAAAATTTGACTTATTTTTAAGATTACAAATGCACTTTATATGAGAGTTACTTGTAAATATCTTTTGAATAATCTGACCGTGTATAAGTTTAAACTCTTAAAATATTACCAAAAAAAAGGAGAAAAAAAGAAGAGAGCTGATATACCAGAGAAAGAAACAAGCAAGAAAACCACATAGACCATAAAAAGGCTGCGTTCACCACTCATTGTCATTCAGTTGTTTTCTTCACCGTGAAACTGCAAATAAAACCAAAAAAAAAAAAAAAGAATGAAAACTTAATTTACAAATTTTGAAGTAGGAAAATGGGAGGAAAGCAAAGGAAAAAATTAGTATCTGATAATGAATATAAAGCAAGTCATCTTATAGAGTTTGTACTTTGTAGCAGAAGTAAGATGAGGAAGTGAAATTTAAGTTTACTGAGTTACAATGTGAAGCTAAAACTTAGATTGAAGGTACGTAATGTTTAACCAAAAAACTGAATATTTGGTTAAAGCTAGAATTTAAGAGAGAAATCGGGTTACTGATGATCAAGAAATGAGAGACTTCGAGAACAATAATAAAGCAATGAATAAGTATATATTTCAGTATAATCGCAATGATATTTCGTGTCCTACAGATGTTGTGACTTTCTCCTTTTATAGTTAATTGTAAGAGAAAGTGTAATGCCTTTGTCTTAATGAGACAATTACGAGCAATAAATGACATTAAAAGAAATGTTACTCAATCATTCCTATTAAATACAAATTCTCTAACGTATTTGGCATTTAATGTTGAATTTGGACTCTTTTACGCTATCAGATTCATGTCTTCAATTCCTTCTGATCTTCGAGCTTTAAATGACTCGAACAGGTACGAGTCTCGTTTCATCTGAATAATAGCTCGTGCCTTTAAGTATCTTCTCTCCCGCATCTGTTGTTGCTCGTGCCTTCTAACTGATTACCACGCTTTGACTATTTGACCGGTCCACGTGTCATGACACGTCATCTTCAATATTTAAATTCAGTTTTTTCCCAATACAGATAGTCCCCCCACTTTCCATTTATTTATCAATTAAATATTTGGGAAGTGGATCTTCATTAAAAAGGGAATTTTTGCCATAATCAATGCTATGACAGTACTAACGCTTCAGTTGTCTCTTCTATTTAATGCACCATATACGTGTCGTCTTCTCATTAGTTCTGCGATTTTGCAGCCTTTTTCTAAGGCTTTTTTTTTAACTCCACTATTCACGAAGTGATAGTTGCCTTTATTATAGGCTTTCCATCATTACACTTTTTAATTACCGCCGGTTGAGTTTATATATAAACTTGCCCCCTTTTTCCTTTGTCTTCTTCCTCACAAGCTTTTTACCAAATTTCTTGCTATTAACTCTTGTTCACTTCTTCTTCAATTCATACCCTCTCACTATGTCGTCTTCGAATCCTAACCCTAAAAGAGTCCCAATTCTTGATAGTTTTCCCAATGCTCCTGCTAGATATAGAAGAGGTAGAGGAGGTGTGCTTCGTGGTACAGGGTCGGTTCGTGGTGGTACCTCTGGTTCCATCATTCCTTCTTCTAGTTCCGGCAATATCTCTAGAGGCTCTCTTTCTAACACGTCTTCTTCTAAAGGCAAATAAACTTCTGAGTCTAACCAAGAGCCTCTGGTTGAAGAAATTGTGCCAACGGATTTATCCTTCGAACATGACAAAGAATCCCTTCGTGACCAAGTGATTAAAACTGAAAAGAGCTGATAAAATATCCCCTCTTTAACTTACTGAAACCCTTTAATTCAGATTGTTCGAAAGAGATTGCCGTTGGA